TGGACCCGCAGCCGCTGCCGCGACAACTTCTGCTTTCCTACACGGTCCTCAACCTCTAAGGCAGAGGTTTAAGATGTTATCAAGTTAAAAAAAAAGAGAAAGAGAGAAACCCCACGGTGTAAGTCGCATTTTAACTTTTTTTCTGCAGGACTGCATTGCGTAGCCCTTGTGCACCTTGATGGGCTCACAAGTAGCCTCCTTCACACTCTGATTTATATTGTGTGCAGCTCTGACAGTGTCTCCTCATCCATCACATCCTCCCATTTACAATTAAGATTTGGAAAAAACCACCCAAACCAAAGAACACCCACATTGCTTTAGGCTGCGTTTAAAAGTCACACTGTTGTACCAGTTCATCTGACAGACAAAGTACAGCTGAAAATATCAGCACCCCTGGTGCACAGTTCACAAGCCTGGCAGCAACCCAGGGCAGCAGTAACACCACAGCCTGCAAGATTACTGGGCACCACCGACAGCCATAAAACAGCTTCATTTAGGATAATGTCTTGCCTCATACTAATTTTTTCACGGAAAACTATTCTTCACCTGTCAGTAAAAGTACCATATTCACACCTGCTACACATATAGGAATTATTTAAGAAGTTCATTTTAAAAAATATAGGCATTTTTAGGGTTTGTTTTGGGGAGTTTTTTGGTGTTCTTTTCTTACAACTGAGGCTGTGCAACTGTAGGATCAAAAAAAACTTCTACAAGTTAATATTCTTTGAAAAGTGTTAGTTGAATGTATTTTGGAGTTATAAATAGCTACATTTTCTAAGAATAAAACTGAACTTAAGCCTGTAATAAGTTTATTTCCTAACAGAGGCTACACTAAAGTAGCAGATCTTTTCCTAGATCAGCTTTCCTTTTTCTGCTTTCACTTCTTTTCTCCACCTGGACATGCAGCGCCTACCATACTCTCCCTGTAAACAGTCCTTGAGCAATGCAAGAACTTCACAAGAGTAAGGACACGAGATGAGCTGTGCCCTACAGGACCTTGTTCAGTTGTTCTGTTCTGCAAAGGTCCGACCTGGAGTGAAAGGATATGTAATCAGGTGAGATTCCACCCCACCACACACCCACCACCAAAAAGCAGCTCCCACAACAAAAGCCAAGGAAGAAAGCAGTACCAGGGCAATTCATTTTAAATACAGTGGCACTACAGGATAGTCCAGCTTTGGAGAGACTGCTTTTGACTACTTCATCTTCTGAAATGCAATGCCTAGCTGCTAGGAGAGGTGGTATGCAGACAAGGGAACAAGAGCCATGGGAGGACTAAAGCATCAGAGAGTTGCTTTGCATGCGGGCAAACGCTTGTGAAAGCCACGCTTGTCACAGGAAGTCAAAGGACACTTAAGGCAGCCATAATCTTGGCTCAGCACTGGAGGCACAAGCGTTTGTCTAATTCTTCGATACTGCAAGAATATGACGCTGCAAAAACTAAGATGCAAGGAAAAAAAATCTGAAACAATTTAATGTTTTATTATGCTTAAGTCAAACAAACAAAAAATTTTCACAAGTTTAATCTCCAGATCCTTCCAAATTGCACAAAGCTCAAACTTAAAGTACATACTTCAAGCAGACAAAAAAGCCAACCCGGCAGTTTCAATGTGTTATGTGGTCTATAAAAAATAATTTGGTACTCCTTAGTAACACTACCACTGGATTAGTCAGAAATTACAATCAGGGATCAACTACATTTTAGAAAAATACTGAAAATCCATTAATAATTTGATTCAGTATTCATCATATCCCATAATGGGATTTGTTTATCTTGATGTGAAAAAACTCGATGGGGTAGAAATCCTGACAACATAGCTATAGACAGAACAGCTCTCATACAATTTACTACAAAACAGTATTCACAGATTCATATTATACAGTGTAAGTGTAACTAAAAAACTGTGCACATTTAAGTGTGCACTGATTTTAAAGAGAACTCTCTATATGCAGTCCAAGACAAGATTTAGCCTTTAATGATACTGAAACAAAGTTTATGGAGAACAATTTTCAGTCTAACTTCAGACCAGAAATTAAGTTGAAAGAAGACTAATTGAGGTAAGATACAGATTTTTCAAGTACAATTAATGGTACCAAAGTTGAAGTAAGCTTTACGATTTCAATATGTAAGTTTGCAGAATAGACTCACGATGCAATGGTCACTCCGCAGAGTTATGTGCATACAACAGCAAAATAAAAGCAAAAAAACCCTTAGTGGTATAAAACAAAAACATAACTGAAAATTTAGCTTGCAGCTTTGAAATCCTGCAAGTTACAAACTTGTATCACAACAACAATCCAAGCATACAGATAAATACAGGTACTTAGCTGAATTTCTGCAAAGCGACTCCCATTTTTAAGCTGATGAATACACTTGCTCTTCCAAAAAAGGAACTGCAGCAACCTGGTGTACACACAACTGAAAGGGTACATGTTCGAGACTTAGTGGTCCAACAGTTTTTTCATTTCAGCAAACCCATCTGGATTCCCATACATGTTTAAAAAGAAGAGTAGGATCTGTTCATGCTTTTTAAGCTGTGGAATAAGCAGAAATAATTAAAAATATATTATTCTCTTTTTTTGAAATTGCTGATCTTTCCCAAGTAAGGAAGGATGACAGAAAACAGAAAATGACCAAACTGCAGTAAGAAAAGACATCAGCTGGATCAAACTGAAGATCAAAGAGACAGAGGGGGAAGAGAATAGCATAGCTTTACTACCTTTTTGCCACTAAACTGCTGGTAACCGCTTACTCTGAAGCGGTAAACTGGGTCTAAATGACCTTGAACCTACCTTCAAAATAGCATAGTGCATATTTTTGCTTTTGAGCCTGCTGGGTCTGGCTGGGAGGAGAGGGGGAAGGTCAAACTACCCTTAAAAGGGGTTTCTGTCTTTACATTTCAAATTTTGTTCATTTCTCTGACAAAGATTCTGATCCATCTTTTCTGGTATACTTTAAGTTACTTTAGATTACTAAAAGTTCTGATTTTTCACAAATAGCCTAAGTTAAAATAAAAAATTAGAAAGCTTAGATCCAGAGAGCTTTCGAAAGTTACAGAAATGTGCAGTATCTGTATAAGACACGATTTTTTTTTTCAGTAGTAAAAAACAAAACCAAAACAAAACCAATCTTGCAACTGGCCAACACCGTTACAAATTCCAGTATTCTCCTGAACTCAGATTCTCAGCCCATTTCATGACAAACTGTGGCACACATTAATCTCTGCTATCTGAAATACACCAAGTGAATTGTGTGTATCTTCAATGTTTCAGTTCGCTATTTCGTCTCCCTCCTTCCATTTGCTTCCCACATAGCATTTCTTTTAAATTCTGGAAACAGCAAAAAAGCAAGTATTGCTTGGACTGAATCTTACTTGCATTTTTAATTCTCTGCAGCAGCATTTGGCCTCACATCCACTGCCTACAAAAAAAAAAAAAATGAAAGCAAGTGAATGAGCAAAATACACATGGATACTGCTTCCCTAATTTAAAAGGTGACGTGTGGAACTCTCAAGATTTTTGGAAGCAAGAGTCACTTAGGCATTCCACATGTCCACAGTTCTTCAAATTAAGTTTAAATTAAGAAGTAATTAAGTGAAAGAAAGTACCTTGATCTTCAGTATGTAAGCTTTCAGCCCTGCAGGGTTTGACCAAACCTTCCATTACCAGTCTGTCAGCTACATTCAGACTACCATCCTCAGAAAGTTTGTCCACCGTTACTAAATTAACATTTCCATTTATCCCTTTCACTGTAATGGTGATGTATTTATTCAATAGCATTTTTCTGAACTTGTCAAGTAATAATGGAGACCACTTAGCTTTCTCTATTCCTGAAAAAAAAAGTACAATCAAGTTTGTTCTATAAAGAATTCCTTTATGGTAAGACTTACAATGCTACCACAGTTTTTGAAAATATGATGCTAAATTTCCCTAATATAAACAGCTTAGATTCTACAGATAACTAACTAAAAACATATTTCCTAAAACAACTTTCACAGTGCTAACCAACATACTATTTCAACAGCTCATCATGCTGTTTGTCAGTTAAAAAAACCCCACTATTATTAGGATAGATACAGATTTATAATGTGCAAGAAAACAACCAACCAGTCAGGGATTTCTGGGGGTGGGTGTTTTAGGTTGTTTTTTTTTTTACCTGCAAGTGAACATTTAATTGTCTGAAAAGGCAGCTTTAAGAAGGAATCTGTGATTGGCAGCACCTGTGAAAGTGGTAAAGTTTCTGTGTCCCCATAGTCTGCATACAGTACTGTCACTACAGACTGAGAGACTTCCAGAACAAGAGCTCTGTACCAATGGCCATCACCTGAAAAGATTGGGACAAGAAGAATCACATGTGAAGTACCCTCTTAGAAGCACAGCTTATACCAAGATCAAGAATTGATATAGTTTTCCAGGAATTTTTAAATACCCCGGTATATACAAAAGGCCACTTAAGAAGCAAGCCCACAGAACAAGGGAATAGTTTCTGATTGCTGTATTCGTAACTCTAAGTGTTGCTTTCAGAGTTTTGCTTAAATTATACAGATAGATTTTTACTACAGTACTGTTTTACGGATGTCTGCACACTGTATTTCTCGCTCCTTTCATTTTTCAATGCATATTTCCTCTCATAACTAAAATTAAAAAAAAAATAATCCTTGTTCCTCAATTATCCTGAAGAGTGATAAACAAAAAAATATAAATCTGTGGAAAGTAAAAAACAACTGTCAAACTCTTAGGTATGCTCTTGGGATCTGCCTAGTATTGTTTTAAATTCATCTATCCTGTTTTCCATGAGCTGTTATATGATCTAGCACCCAAATTCATTTCCAGCAGCTAGCCAGGTCTCTTGTAACAATCCACATGCAGTCAATATTTAATATTTAAGAATCATCGCTACTTTATTTTTTTAAGTATTGAGCTAATATATCAACAGAGTATCCCCTCTTCAGAAAGAGTAAGACAATAATTAATTTCCCTCACTGTTAATAATGCTTTTGATGTGAACTAACAGTTCAGTAAGCACAGACAGCTTATTTGGCCAAGGCTGAATGACCAATTGCCATAGCCAGTGTCACCACCCCATGCTTACACAAAGCAGCAACAAAAAACGACCCAAGCACCCCCAAATCAGAAGTGGATCTGTACGGATGCAAGTGCACTGTTGCTCTGCCATGGATTTCATGCCCTTGTGAGTCAGGGCAGCACAACCAAATTCCAGTTTAAACAGTAACTCACTGTTCTTTCCTCTTAAAGCTCCACACATTTTGCAGGGCACAACCTATTCCTTATTTTCTCTCCCAGACTGTCACATCATTCACTTGCCCTAAAGATGCAGCCAGGCTCTCCTTTGGAACGGAATTATGAGGTCTGTAAGTACTTTAAAAGTTGGCATTTTCCCTTTTTCTAAAGCAAAAAAGGAAGCTGTGTTTTATGCTGGTCAAGGAAATACAAGAATGAATGATCATCTCACCTGAAAACCTGGCACAACAAGCTTCATCCAGTTTTGGTTTGAAGGGCTGGTTCTTACAAGATTTACAATAGCCTTCTAGTTCAATCAGCTGCCTACGTAGCTTCTCTTGATCTACAGAAAAAAACCCAAAACATTTAATAACTAACCACAATTGGGTATAATGAAGAGCATACTTATTTTAAGCTCCCCTGCTCCCACCTTTGGCATTTTTTAATATTTTTTCTACTGTCCGAGCTACATTTCCATATGGTTCAGTGCACTATAGGCATTCATTTTATTAACTAGCCTGCAACAGTGACTTCTTACTGATATTAGGAACACTTTTTTCTTACCTTTATTTTGAACTGGTACAGCGTAGAACAAGTCTGGGCTGACAACTTCTGTTACACAGACATACAGGGTTTCATCTATAGCCAATTCGATCGACTTCCAGTGCCCAAGTGAGGTTCCTAATGGAAATAGTAAGAAAATACAGTGTACCATTTTCCTCCGCACATACAAAAGTTAAGTTAACTCGCTGTTAACAAACTGTTACAGAGCATCTTTTTGAATTTTAGAGACAACTGCATGTCTTCACTTTAAAAAGAGAAATTTAAACAACGATAATTCTTGCTTAATTTGCTGTTAATAAACTATTTGCATAGAAAAGTAACTAAAGTAAAAAATAAAAGTCATAAAAAAAAATATTGGAAAGTAAACATGGGAAAAGTTTCAGTCATCGCAAATTTGTAACTTTCTACTATCAAATATTCAAGTAGCATTCATTTAACACAAACCCAGCGATTTTTCTCTCTCTTTTTGTCTGTAATGCCACCTGCAGGGCAGCTTGTGTTTAACTGAAAAAACTGACAATATAATCAAAACTATACAAGTTTATTATTGATATCAAACAGCAAGATCACAGAGGCTGGAATACTGAAAATTCTTGTTCAATCTACAAGTTGACATTAATTTAATTACCTTTTTTGTCAACAGACTTGTTTGGAAAGTTCTTTTTATCTTGCAGAACTTCCTTTACAGCCAATTTTTCAGAAGTTAATATCTCATTGATCACTTTTGGATGGCCTGTGGAATTGTCAATAAGCTCTACACCTGCTCCATCTCTGGAAAGGCAAATTACTCTGGCTTGAAGCTTTATCCCTGCAGTGTACATACGAAATCTTGCTGTAGCTTCTGGAATCCATTTGCTATTACCAGGCTTTACACCTAGGAAGTAGAATTGGTCAAAATATATCCATTAAGTGACTTTCTTCAACATTACATTCCTTAAAATGTTTTTCCACTAAAAAAAAAATCCATTTTTTAAAAAGCACAACTCTAACAAAGCTATTTTTACTATCTTAGGGATAAACGTTGTACTTCATCCTGTTAACTGATATTCCTCCTTCTCCTCTCTTTTAAAAAAGCAGATTTCCTTAGGACTCCCAATTTTTGTTTTCTACATTTTACGATATCCTACCAAGTAAATCCTTGTGCCTTAGCACAAACACCACTGTTAAAGACTGTTTGTGAATCAGTTTAATATAGCCTTTTTATCAAAGGAGCAGAAAAACAAAGTGCTTCAAGAGATTTAAAAAAAAACCCAAGCAGGAGACACCTTGAGGGAATGTGTTTTTGAGCTTTTCCTGATTTCCACATTTTTTTTTATTTTTAAAACAAGTAAAGTACATTAGAAAGAAAGAATAATTATGTACAATTTTGAGTGACTTGCTGTGGAAAAGGAAGAAGCAGAGAATTGGTAGAAGACTGAGAAACAGCAGTACAGTGCCAAATTCCGCAGAACTCAAATGAAACATCCCTGCAGGGAACTGAAAGGCCAACTTGGTCCATAAAAACAAATGAGCCCCTTTGCCTGCAAAAATTTTGAGAAATAATCAAGTTGCACAAAAGCACATTTACTCTCAGCAAGGCAGCAACCAAAAGCTAGTAAGTACTACAGAGTAAGCAGAACTAAACAAGAAGTTCCTTTTGACTGGTAAATCAGTAAGTAACCTCCCCTTCACTCCATGGCACTGTCAGGAGCTCAGGGAAAAGCAACCAAAAAACCCTCCTGAAACAGAGTTCTGTGAATCATACCCTGTCACCACCTCCTTCCCACGGAGCAGCAAGTCTCTAAGTGCAATAGTTCTTACAAGAGAAAAAAAACCCAAAACACCAACAGTAAGAAGATCGACCTGAGAGCCAGCATTTAATTGCTTGAAACGGAAGTTCTAGGAATGAGGGTGAGATGTGCCGTATTTTATCCAGTGGTACTTCCTCAACGTTTCCGTAGTCCACAAAGCATACTTGAACAGTTCCACCTGAAGTAACGTTTTGCACCAAAGCACGGTACCAGTTACCATCATCTAATTGTAAAAAGAAAAATAGGAAAAAAACAAAACAAACCACAAAACAAAAAAAAACCTATTTCACATGTTTTGTAAGTTTATAAGCATTTATTTTTTAGTAAACAAATCCAATTCTTTGTTACCCTCTACCAATGCAAACTATCAGATATCCAATTTTATTATTTTTCTTTGCTTTGTGCTATGCTTTAAAAACAAATATTTTAGTCTGTTACTTACTCGAGAAAAAAGCACAGCAAGGTTCTCCATTCTCAGGCTTAAAAAAATTTGGTGGAGTTTTCTGACAGTACTCAGACAATGATCTGTTAAGTGAGTTTAGAGCAAGTAACTCTGAAAATTAGAAAGAAAAATTCCAAAATATGAGATCAATGAAATAAAGTGACTTGAAGTTTATCAATACTGTTCACTGCATAGCTTACTTACAAAGATTTTTACAGGAGATTTCCATGAATTTCACCAAAAAAGACCCCAACCAAACAAAAAAACAAAACTCTGTTGGCACTGAGTTAACTATTTAACTTACTAGACAAACTTATTAGCGGGAGGAGGAGCAATAGCTGATATTTACTGACAAATTAGTTCAGTATGATAGCAAAATGACCACAAATTCTTCCTACTAATCCAACAAGCACCCTTCACTCCAAAATCTGAAGTATATATTATAGCCAGACACCACCATGTGAATTATCTAGTTCAACCACTCCACAGGACAATTATGGGATCTCATCCTGCTTATTTATTTTTTATATCAAGTCCTTCAGTCTGATCTGTAATATCCCATTTAGGAATTCAGTCATGTCTTAAATATAAAGAGCTACAAAGAATCTATACTATCCTTAGATAAGTCAAGGAATAAGCTCTCCTCACTTTTTAAGATCTGGTTTTGGTTTGAATGCCTTTACCTTCCACTTCCAGACACTGAATTTCATCATTTTTCTAGTAGGTTAAAAAGCCAGTGGCTATCAGAAGTCTTTATACACGCAAATAGAGGAATAAGAGAGTTTTTGAGCTTATCCAAGAGCAAGTTCAGTCTCAAAAGCTGCAAATTCTCATTTTTGTATTATTTTATCTCCTTCGATTCTTTGCAAGTGTTTATAACAGCACTAGAAGAGAGCTCCAGTAAGTACTGTATGGACACAGGGAACATGTCTCTTATTTGCTATCTTCTGTTTAGATATGCTTTGCCCAGGTTATGGTAGCTCTTTTCACTTTTCTTTACATTCTTAGATTAAATTTCATTCAACTGCTTACCTTCAACATTTTCAGATTTTAGTCACTACATACATCCAATTTCTTTATCATTCCACTTGTGCTCTTAGATACAAAAACTCAAGAGTTAAGCCTTGATGCTATACGCTCACTTGAAACAATGATGCATCAGAACTATAATAAATGACAAATGAGTGAGCAAAGAAACTAACAGAAAGAACAAAGCTGAATAAACTTACCACTGTTATTGGAAACCTGACAGTAGAATTCTCCAGGATTGTACAGTGCACACACTATGACATCTACTGTTTCTTTAAGAGTTAGTTTACTCCACTTGCAAATTTGATTCATGGTGTCCTCTAGAGAGGAAAGATAAGACAGATGTACAGGAAGGAAGAGAAATTAAAATAATTAAATAACAAATAATAAAATAACAAATCTTCAAGGACTAAATATGTGGATTTAGGTGTAAAATATAGGACAATGAAGATGAAATACTGTCTGAACTAAAGACAAGGGCATAAGAACAAGGAGGTACTAACAAGTCATATGCTAATTCAACTGAAAATTTTAAGACTTCTTACGACAGAAAGTGAAATACTAGTATGGTCTTTCAGCAGTAAGCAATCGCAACTTTTTTACATATGCTTACACACACACACAAGCAAACACACAATTTCTTCATGGCAAAGTTGCCATGGTTAAACTTCAGAGCTGTGAAGGGTGGACTTCATGAGCCAGACCGGAAAGCTGTCACCAGTTAAGAACTTGCATTCCTTGTACCCACTCTAGTGGGAGGTTAAGTAATGCCTTTTTGTGCTCGTACTCACCATTTGCTTGCTCAGCATTGCCCATTCTGATTGCTTGTACGGCCAACCTTGATTCCTCAGCTGCACAGACTTTCTCTCTGAGATGGCTCGATATATTTATTGCTGGGGTAACTGATGCATCTACAAGCTCCACCACAGCACTGTAACTCTCTTTATCCACTACTTTTATTGTTAACAATTTATCCTTCACCAGTTGTTTCATTAAAGAAATAGCTTTTGAGGTCCAGGCTCCTAATGGTGGCTTTACACCTAACAGAAGTTCACAGATCAGTATGTGGACAACTACACCACCACTGTTTAAAACAACAGATTAAGCAGCAGATACTCCAAGTAACTCTCCCCCACTCCTCATGCTTGTAAGAAGATTCTGTGGAGTAAATCATCCTGAGTGCCATCACACG